TAAATGGTTCTGGCTTGTAGTGGTTGTGTGATGGTGTGGGAATATCTTCTTGGTACTTTTTGGGCCCCTTAGCGCCAGCTCAGCATCGTTTAAATACCACAGCATTCCTGAGTACTATTGCTGACCATGTCCATCCTTTATGAAGATATTGTACCCATCTTCTCACTAGTAACAAATCTAAAGCAACTGTGTGATGCTGTCATGTCAAACCTGAGGGATGTTTTTAGCACTTTGTTGACCCTATGAAGAATTAAGGCAGTTCTGAAGGTAAAAAGCTGGTCAAACCTGCTATTAGCAGAGCCGGTAACTATATGTTGATTGTGTTTACTAAATAAAGTTTAGATCAGTGGCTCTGTCAGTGAGGTTTACTGACCACCAGAGGTCCTTCAGGCTTTACTTCATCAGGAAGAGGATGAATTTTAAATTCCCAGGTTAACAATTAGGAGAGTGAAAGGGGGAATAATATTAGGTAGCATCTGAGTCATTATACTTAATAACCAAGCAGTTTTAAGAACACAAATATTTAAAATATAATTTCTAGAAAAATTTCCCATTAAACTAACTTGACAGTGTCTGAATTTTCCCGTAGACAACATGGTGGAAGACATGGACGTCGATCTTGACAAAGAGTTTTTACAAGAACTGAAAGAGCTGAAGATTTTAATCGCTGACAAAGATCTGCTCGATCAACACAAAAGGTAACAGGAACACACTACCAGACACTTCCATGTTTTGCTGACTCCTGAAAAACCTTCTGAAAATCATTTTATCTGTTTTCTTTTTCTTTCTTCTCTTATTTCTGCTCAGTTTGGTCTGTACAGCCCTTAGAGGAAAGACGAAAGTTTTCATTGAGATGGAGGGTAGTTTCAAGGTGAGAGATGATAAGTATCTTTATGATATTCCGTGAGAATAACTGTGAAGAGGAAATAACGGTTTCGAATGTAATTTTGTTTCTGCAGAATCTTTCCAGAGGCCTCATCAACATCGCTGCAAAGCTGACCAACACAAAAGATGTCAGAGATTTCTTTATTGATCTTGTAGAGAAGGTGAGATTTTCTTAAAAATATATATATATATATATATATAAGTAAAGACGGCTCACCCAGCCCGAATACTTTAATGTTTGTCTCAGCATCAGTCTGCCTTTGAGGCTTTATGCTGTAACCTTCTCACCTCCTTTTATCCCACAGTTTATTGAGCCGTGCCGTTCAGACCGGTGGTCAGCTGCGGACATGAAACTCTACCTCACTCATTACACCAACTCTGCACACATACTCGACACATTCAAGTGAGTTAATGTGCTTTTATTCTCCGAAGCTTATCAGTCAGAGCCTGGCACCGACCCTGCCAGGGTTATCAATTCCCCCGGGGTATCCTGTGCTAAAAACAGAGCTGTGATTTTCATAGAGAGCTTCTGGGGAAAGCCGAATAAGGATATGCATGGTGGTGTTAGACGCTGCTGAAGCGTGAAGCTGTATGTTAAAACCCTCCCAAAAATTGACGCCCTTGTTCTGCCAGTGGGTGTCTCCCTATCTTGCTCATGACTTCTTAAACTGTAGTTACCTTGTTTCTCGTGCAAACACTCAGGAATGTAGTTAAGGGTTTACACAGCCCTGAACCACTACAAGCTTAACAAAGACATATTCATAAAAAGAAACATAGACCCCCCACTCCCCCACGCGTATACACAGGGGGGACAGAGATTGCCTCATTTACTCTCTTCACTCTGATTTCACAATTACAGTCTGACATGAAATTTGGAGCACCTCTTTTCACTGCTTTTACTCACCGTTTGCTCTCGTTTTCTTTCTCTTTTCTGCCCTCAGACATCAAGTCGTGTGGGACAGATACATGGGCGTCGTCAAAAGCTGCATCTTCAAAATGTATCACGACTGAAGAGTTCTCCTAGCGGTTCACGTCTCCTTTCAGTTTGCTAAGGCGTTACTTCGCTCCTTCGGATGTGCTTTCTCTGCTTCTTCCGTCATCGCTGTATGTTTGTCTGCCTGCTTTGTTCCTAGCGTCCCCCAACGTTGTCTGTAAATTTGGTTTGTAAATAAAATTAAGATTTTACATTAAAAATGCCCTTTTGTTTTATTTCCTATGTAATGTTTCATGTTTATTCTGGAAGGAAGAGATGTTGGGATTAACCCCCGAGTCAGGAGCTTTCACCGGGGGTTGGGGGTTGGGTGAACCATACTTAAGAAGTGAAAACAGCGGATTTGATATTGTAGTTGATATTGACTCCAACTGAATTAGCGTTTTATTCACTAATTCTCTTAAAGAGGACCCGCGGATCACATGCACGACAGGCTGTGACTCCAGTCAGTGTGTGGGGTGTCTCTGTGTGTGGTTATGGGAATAGGGACCAACTGGATGAGGGGTTGGGGCACAGTTAGTCCAGCCGGGACTGTGATTTTTAACAACACCCCCTGTAGTGACAGCTGCCATCTCTGCCACTCGACAAAAACAAAAGGCAGACAAATAAGCTGAGGCCGAGTGAAGGTTTTTAAACCAAACGCTGGAGGGTAACTGGAGAAACCGCCTCCCATCTAAAAATAAAATGCAGGGAGCTATTTTGCAAGTGATGAGATGTTTGTAAGGAAAATTAAGACTAGCGCTGCCGCTGCTGTTGATCCCAATTTGAGGATAGTCTGAATTTGTGCCCATTAGAGTTGAATGAGACGGAAACTAATGAGGATTAATGTGAGTTAAGCAACATCTTAACCCGTTTGCATCATGACAGACTACAAATTTTGCAAGACAACATGCTGCTGGAAATGATTCCAAGCGCAGTAACGCATTAGTCACGCACAAACGAGAAGAGCGTGGGTCAAGACTTATGATACTTCTTTATTTTTTTTGTCTTTTGTCCCAGAAAGCACTGCTGGTTTATTCTGTAAAATAAAAATTTTCCAAACACGTACACACGCACACACACACACACACACGCACACACACACACTCACACACACACACACAGACTGTCGCTCTCTTCCACTCTCTAATTTTTGTCCGCATTCCATTAACTTCCCTCTCTCTGGCTATAAATATCCCTGCATGTCAGATTGGACGAGCGCGAGGGCTTTAGTGGCTTTATGGAAAAGAAAAAAGGGGAGTGAGAGATGGGGGAGGTAAGTATAGATAGATGGGGGGTAAATGGGAAAAGGGAGGGAAGAATGGGTGGGAGAGCTTGGGGATTTTGCGGGGGTTTGGTTTAAATGAAACCAGGTGTGTTGTGGGACCAGTGAGAGGGTGAAAAGACGCGGGGGCATGTGCGTGTGCGAATCTGTGAGTTGTGCCTGCGATTTGGACGGGTTTGGAATTTCGGTATTTGGGCCGCAGACCAGGAATTTGCATCCTGGGGGGTCAGGGAGAGGGGGTTTGGGGAGTGGAGGATGGCAGTGCAGGGGGCCAGAGGGGGGGTAAGGGGGCTGTTCCTCTCCTCCCTTTCTCTCTCTCGCCTCTGCCTGTCTTGCTCGCTCCCTCTCTCTCCCTCTCTCTCCCTCCCTTTCCATGTGCTGCTCCAGCTGTCGGTCTCCCCACTCACTCTCTCTCTCAGGGTCATACAGGCAGGAGTTTAAGGGACCACTTCTGTACGCCAACTCGGCTGGGACGACCGCAGCCAGCAGGAGGGACACACTGGTCAGACGGAGACTGAGAGACAGAAGATTCCTCTGTGAGTTTTCCTGTGTTTCTTTAGCCTCTTATACATATCAAAGAATGGCTGTTTGTTAAAGAGAGACTTACTACGTTTTGCGAGCATTTTAGGGAGACGTAAGGGAGGTGAGATGTACCTCTTACCCACTTTTTCTAGTACAGGCCATACACGTCACACTTGCACCACTGCCCTGCTCTCTGCTCTGCTCTCCCAGCTGCACTTGGCTCCTTATGAGAGCCAAGATAACGTGGCTGACTGTGTCTGAGTAGTTTACTTCTTGGCTCTGACTGTAATATGGGGTTAGACAGGAAGAGAGGCAGTGAGTCACAGGGCACATGTTATCGTACTGTAATATTGCAAAACCCTTCCGCCTCATCCCTCTTGTACAACTTTTAACGTCAGTGTCACAAGATCAGTTTAGTCTCTAGGTGGGGGAAGTTCAAAATCTGAAACACAAACAGGTGTCAACATGTAGACGAGTTCTCTAAACCTGGATGACCTCACAGTGCACAACTGCTGTTTCACTTTTTGTGTAATCAATTTCCTGCAGGTAAAAGCAGATGTTTCCACTTTAAGGTGGGGATTAGAA